AGAGCTTGATGAATGCAAGGCTGGGGTGAAAATTGCTGGAAGAAACATTAACAACCTCAGATATGCAGATGACACCACTCTGATGGCCGAAAGCGAGGAGGAGCTGAGGAGCCTTCTAATCAAGGTGAAAGAAGAAAGCGCAAAAGCCGGGTTGCAGCTCAACGTCAAAAAAACCAAGATTATGGCAACAAGAATGATTGACAACTGGAAAATAGAGGGAGAAACCGTGGAGGCCGTGACAGACTTTGTATTTCTAGGTGCAAAGATGAGTGCAGATGCAGACTGTGGCCAGGAAATCAGAAGACGCTTACTTCTTGGGAGGAGAGCAATGTCCAATCTCGATAAAATAGTAAAGAGTAGAGACATCAGACTGGCAACAAAGATCCGCCTAGTGAAAGCCATGGTATTCCCTGTAGTAACCTACGGATGTGAGAGCTGGACCTTAGGGAAGGCTGAGCGAAGGAAGATCGATGCTTTTGAGCTGTGGTGTTGGAGGAAAGTTCTGAGAGTGCCTTGGACTGCGAGAAGATCCAACCAGTCCATCCTCCAGGAAATAAAGCCCGACTGCTCATTGGAGGGAAAGTACTAGAGACAAAGTTGAAGTACTTTGGCCACATCATGAGGAGACAGGAAAGCCTAGAGAAGACAATTATGCTGGGGAAGTGGAAGGCAAAAGGAAGAGGGGCCGACCAAGGGCAAGATGGATGGATGGCATCCTTGAAGTGACTGGACTGACCTTGAAGGAGCTGGGGGTGGTAACGGCCGACAGGGAGCTCTGGCGTGGGCTGGTCCATGAGGTCACGAAGAGTCGGAGACGACTGAACGAATGAACAACAACAAAGGAGTTTGGGGGCTTTGGGGAGAGGGGTGGGTATTCCCACAGTTTTCCGGACTAACTGCGGGAATGGTGTCTGGACTGTGGGAATGGTGTCTGGAAATAGTGGGTTTATCCCACGCCTTTCAAGAAGGCATGGAATAAATCCACTATCTAATTAATTTGCTACAAACTAGGGTTTTCCTGGTTTGTAGCTAATTAATTCAGGACACAGCCGTATATCCCAGAATATCAAGGCAGAAAATGCCACATTATCTGCTTTGAACTGGGTTATCGGAGTCCACATTTCGATAATGTGGGATTTTCTGCCTTGATATTCTGGGATATAGATATGTGTGGAAGGGCCCTATGATAATGTGGGATTTTCTGCCTTGATATTCTGTGTGGAAGGGTCCTCAAACTTTTCGTATAGAAAAAATTCCTAATGCACTACCCAAACTTTACCAGGCGATGGCAGTATTGAACAGAGAAAGAGGCAGCATTCCTTTCCCAAGCTTCTTTATTCCCTCCTGATGAAGGCTTTGGATCCAGGAGTAAAATTATACCTTCTAATGGTGGCTCCTATGGATTTAATCCAGACTTTAAATGAGTCAGGGTTCAATGCTGGAACAAAGAAACACAGAAACTTGCTCTTCTGCAGTCTGACCATTTCATGGTCAACTGACTGGCAGCAGCAATCGTTTCCCAAAAATTAGCATACTCTTCCTAGGGGTCTTCAGCAATAATAATAATAATAATAATAATAATAATAATAATAATAATAATAATAATAATAATAATAATAATTTGCTTTAAATAAATGGAACTTTGAAAAAGGAGATGGAGGGCCTGATTCTGGCAGCTCAAGAACAAGCCATTCGAACCAATGCCATCAAAGCCAGAATTGAAAAGACAGATCCCAAGTGTAGGCTCTGCAAAGAAGCAGATGAAACAATAGATCACATCCTCAGCTACTGCAAGAAAATCGCACAGACAGACTACAAGCAGAGGAATAACACCGTTGCTCAGATGATTCATTGGAACTTGTGCCACAAATACCATCTGCCTGCAACAAAGAACTGGTGGGATCACAAGCCAGAAAAAGTTACAGAAAATGAACATGTCAAACTCCTCTGGGACTTCCGGATTCAGACAGACAGAGTTTTAGAGCACATTTCTCCTGACCTCACAATCGTGTTAAAGAACAAAGTATGGACTGTCGATGTTGCAATCCCAGGGGACAGCAGGATTGAAGAGAAACAACTGGAAAAGATGACACGATATGAGGATTTAAAGATTGAACTGTAAAGACTCTGGCACAAACCGGTAAAGGTGGTTCCAGTGGTGACTGGCACACTGGGTGCAGTGCCTAAAGACCTTAGCCTGCACTTAAACACAATCGGCGCTGACAAGATTACCACCTGCCAGCTGCAAAAGGCCACCTTATTGGGATCTGCACGCATTATTTGCCAATACATCACACAGTCTTAGTCACTTGGGAAGTGTCCGACATGTGATCCAATATAACAGCCAGCAGAGTTTCTGCTGTGGACTCGTCTTGTGGTGTTTCAAATACTAATAATTTTATTTAATTGCTTTAATTGAAATCAATAATCAGAAACTTCTCAAAGCACAGCAGACAAAGAATCAGTACAAGAAAACTGCACTCCAAACCAGAGCTGACAGCTGGCACAACAAAGCATTGTATGGGCAGTTCCTTGAGAAGACTGAAGGAAAAGTTGATAAGGAGAAGTCCTGGTTATGGCTCATGAATGGAACCCAGAAGAAGGAGACAGAATTCTTGCATCCCAGGAGCAAGGCATCAGGACCAAAGCAATTAAGGCTCAGATTGAAAAATCAACGGATGACCCAAAATGCAGACTGTGCAAGGAAGCTGATGAAACCATGGATCATATCCTCAGCTTTTGCAAGAAAATCACACAGGCGGACTACAAACAGAGGCACAACTCTGTGGCTCAAATGATTCACTGGAACTTATGTCACAAGTTACACCTGCCAGCAGTAAAGAATTGGTGGGATCATAAACTTGCAAAGGTAGTGGAAAGTGAACATGCAAAAATACTGTGGGACTTTTGAATCCAGACTGACAAAATTTTGGAACACAACACGCCAGACATCACGATTGTGGAAAAGAAAAAAGTCTGGATTATTGATGTCAGCATACCAGGTGACAGTCGCATTGAGGAAAAACAACAGGAAAAACTCAGCTGCTATCAAGACCTCAAAATCGAATTGCAAAGTCTCTGGCATAAACCAGAACAGGTGGTCCCAGTGGTCATTGGCACACTGGGTGCCGTGCCAAAAGATCTCAGCTGGCATTTGGAAACAATAAACATTGACAAAATCACGATCTGTCAACTGCAAAAGGCCACCTTACTTGGATCTGTGCGCATCATTCGAAAATACATCACACAGTCCTAGACGCTTGGGAAGTGTTCGACTTGTGATTTTGTAATACGAAATCCAGCATACAGATCTCGTTTGCTGTGTGGTGTCAGTAAAATAATAATAATAATAATAATAATAATAATAATAATAATAATAATAATATTCGAACTGCAAAGACTCTGACACAAGCCAGTCAAGGTGGTCCCAGTGGTGATCAGCACATTTGGTGCAGTTCCTAAAGACCTTGGCCTGCACTTAAACACAATTGGCGCTGACAAAATTACTATCTTGCCAGCTGCAGAAGGCCACCTTACTGGGATCTGCACGCATTATTCGCCGATACATCACACAGTCCTAGACACTAGGGAAGTGTCCGACGTGTGATCCAATACAACAGCCAGAAGAGTGATCTTGTTTGCTGTGGACTCGTTGTGTTTCGAAGAAGAAGAAGAAGAAGCCGGTATTTGGAAACAATAAACATTGATAAAATCGCGATCTGTCAACTGCAAAAGGCCACCTTACTTGGATCTACACGCATCATTCGACTTTCCTTCTAATGCAGTGGTTCTCAACCTTCCTAATGCCGTGACCCCTTAGTACAGGTCCTCATGTTGTGGTGACCCCCAACCATAACGTTATTTTCGTTGCTACTTCATAACTGTAATTTTGCTACTGTTATGAATTGTAATGTAAATATCTGATATGCAGGATGTATTTTCATTCACTGGACCACATTTGGCACAAATACTCAATATGCCCAAATTTGAATACTGGTGGGGTTGTGGGTGATTGATTTTGTCATTTGGGAATGTTGGAGTTGCTGGGATTTATAGTTCACCTAAAATCAAAGAGCCTTCTGAACTCCACCAATGATGGAATTGAATCAAACTTGGCACACAGAATTCCCATGACCAAGAGAAAATACTGGGAAGGTCTCGTGGACATTGACCTTGAGTTTTTGGAGTTGTAGTTCACCTACATTCCAGAGAACACTGTGGACTCAAGCAATGATGGATCTGGATCAAACTTGGCACAAATACTCAATATGCCCAAATGGGAACACTGGTGGAGTTTGGGGAAAATAGACTTTGACATTTGGGAGTTGTAGTTGATGGGATTTATAGTTCACCTACAATCAAAGAGCATTCTGAACCCACCAATGATAGAATTGGGCCAAACTTCCCACACAGAACACCCATGAGCAACAGAAAATACTGTTTTCGATTGTCTTTGGCAACACCTCTGACACCCCCTCATGACCTCCCCACAGGGGTCCCAACCCCCAGGTTGAGAAACACTGACTTAAGCCGAATGCTATGGAATCGTGGAAGCTGTAGTACTATTTTGCAGGGAAGGTTAAAAGCGAAATAGGTGTTGTTCTCTGCTAAATCCCACAGTAAGGTGATATCAGTGCCCCAATTTTCAATAATAATAATAATAATAATAATAATAATAATATCCAATGTGTGATCCAATACAAAGGCCAGAATAGTGATCTTGTTTGCTGTGTACTAATCTTGTTGTGTTTCAAATGATAATAATAATAACTACTTTATTTATATTCCGCCCTATCTCCCCTGGGGGACCTTTTACACTGAGCGTATCATCTACACTGTAGAATTAATGCTGTTTGGCATCACTTTAGCCGCAGCCCTGGCTCAGTGTAGCAGCAGGAGCAGCAGAGCCGGCGACTCCTCCCCGTTTGTAAATGAGGCGCTCCTGATTGGCTAGAGAGAAGGAGGGGGCGTGGCCCCAGCCTATAAAAGCCGCCGGGGAACAATGCGGTGCCTCCGTCCTGGTCTGGGCGCTTTGAAGGCAGGCGCATGCGCGGTGGGAGATCGATGTGATTTATTGCTTTGCTGCAAGGCGACAAGAAAGGGAAGAAAAGAAAGGATCGGTGCGTCCAGACTGCACTGCGTTTGGACGCCGGGTTGAAGACCTGGATCTTCCGACAGCACTTCTCCAGTGAAGCTGTGCCTTTGTGCAAGTGGCATCCCATTGTGAATGCGGGGTTGGGTCGGAGTGGGACTGGTTGGTGCATTTCAACAGGAGTAAGGAGTTAACCCTGAGACTATTCCGAAGCGTGGTAACTTACCCCGGATCTAACCATGGAGCTGGACCCTTTCCCTTTGCCTCCACTGCCTTGGTTCCAGGCGGACCCTGGGGAGGACTTGGACTTGGGGCGCTTCCTCTGCAAAGAGGAGGAAGAGGAGGAGGAAGGCTGCCCTCTGTCAAACCTGAGCGCCTTCATCCTGCGCGACTGCATGTGGAGCGCCGCCAAGGGGGTCTCTGCCCCCATCCATAGCCACAGCAGCGCCTTGGACCCCGGATTGGGAGGGCTTTGCGTGGCCCCCGGAGCCGTCTTGGCCCCCATTGCTGCTTCCTCTGGGTCTGAGGGCCCCAGCGACTCTGGTAAGGGCAGGGCCTCCTTTGGGGTGGCTCTCTTGGAGGTCAGAGGTCAAAATAATGTAAACGGCATATTAGAGAGCTTCAACAGGTGAAAAAGGATGGCGGGAAGACACAAAAGGCTCAGGTATAGGATGGACAACACTTGGCTTGGAAATGGTCTGCACGAAAAGGGGTCAGAACACGGGCCAGAAGTGTCACGCAGCAGCAAAAAAGGCCAAGCTGCAGGAAAGAGTCCGAATCAATGGAAGTATGATAGCAATGGCTTGGCAATAGTCATATATCTGACTGTTAGAGCCCCCGGTGGCGCAGTGGGTTAAACCCCTATGCCGGCAGGACTGAAGACCGACAGGTCGCAGGTTCGAATCCGGGGAGAGGCGGATGAGCTCCCTCTATCAGCTCCAGCTCCTCATGCGGGGACATGAGAGAAGCCTCCCACAAGGATGATAAAACGTCAAATCATCCGAGTGTCCCCTGGGCAATGTCCTTGCAGACGGCCAATTCTCTCACACCAGAAGAGAACTGCAGTTTCTCAGGTCACTCCTGACACGACCAAATCTGACTGTTTATGAGTCAAGAGCAGGCATGGGCCGTTCTTGAGAGCCATTCAGCAGTGGAACTCTCTGCCCTGGAGTGTGTTGGAGGCTTCTTCTTTGGAAGCTTTTAAACAGGCTGGATGGCCATCTGTCGGGGGTGCTTTGAATGCAATTTTCCTGCTTCTTGGCAGGGGGTTGGACTGGATGGTCCATGAGGTCTCTTCCAACTCTATGATTCTATGAGTTGAGAGTGTGATGTGGCACCGAAAAATACTAATGTGACTCTATGCTGCAGGAAAGGGTCCAGATCAATGGAAGTATGATAGCAATGGCTTGACAATAGTCATATATCTGACTGACCATGAGTCAAGAGCTGGCATGGGCCAGCTTGGGATCTTCGGGTGTTTTGGAGTGCAACTCCCACCATTCCTAACAGCCTCAGACCCCTTCCTTTCCCCCCTCAGCCACTTAAGCTTAGGAATGGTGGGAGTTGCACTCCAAAACACCTGGAGGGCCCAAGTTTGCCCATGCCTGGTCAAGAGTATGATCACGGGAAGTAGTATAGGATATGGCTTGGCTGTAATAGTACATGCAAAAGTGAGTTCGGCAACAAGCTGAGCATGAGTTGAGAGTGTGATGTGGCAATGAAAAACATCAATGTGACTGTAGGCTGCAGGAAAGAGTCCAGATCAATGGAAGTAAGATAACAATGGCTTGACGATAGTCATAGTTAAGCTTAGGAATCTGACCATGAGCTTAAGCTGACCATGAGTCAAGAGCAGGCATGGGCCAACTTGGGTGCTCCCTCCAAGTGTTTTGGACTTCAACTCCCACCATTCCTAACAGCCTCAGGTCCCTTCCTTTCCCCCCTCAGCCGCTTAAATGAGCCAGAAGTGTCATGCAGCAGCAAAAAAGGCCAATGCGATTCTAGGCTGCAGGAAAGAGTCCAGATCAATGGAAGTAAGATGGCTATGGCTTGATGATAGCCATATATCTGACTGACCAAGAGTCAAGAGCAGGCATGGGGCAGCTTGGGACCTTCAGGTGTTTTGGACTTCAACTCCCACCATTCCTAACAGCATCAGGCCCCTTACTTTTCCCCCTCAGCCGCTTAAACGAGCCAGAAGTGTCATGTGGCAGTGAAAAAGTCCAATGCAATTCTAGGCTGCAGGAAAGAGTCCAGATCAAGGGAAGTAATGTAGCTATGGTTGACGATAGTCATATACCTGACTGACCATGAGTCAAGAGCAGGCATGGGCCAACTTGGGACCTGCAGGTGTTTTGGACTTCAACTCCCACCATTCCTAACAGCCTCAGGCCCCCTCCTTTTCCCCCTCAGCTTAAGTGGGTGAGGGGGAAGAGGAAAGGGCCTGAGGCTGTTAGGAATGGTGGGAGTTGAAGTCCAAAACATCTTGGGAAAACATGCCTGGGTCCAAAACATCTTGGGACCCAGGCATGGGTCCCAAGTTGACCCATGCCTGGTCAAGAGCACGATTGTGGGAGGTAGTATAGTATATGGCTTGGCCATCATAATACATGCAAAAGTGAGTTTGGCCACAACAAAAACAAGCATGAATTGAGAGTGTGATGCTCCAGCAAAAAAGACCGATGTGATTCTAGGCTATTTATATTTATTTATCGTGTCATCAGCAACCATTGTATTACAATTCTAACAGAGCAAAAACAAGGTTCTAGGCTGCATCCATAGGAGAGTAGTATCCAGATCAACAGAAACCATCGTCCTTATTTACTCTCTTCTGCTTTGGCCAGGCCTGACCTGGAATAAGATTGTGCCCAGTTCGAAAGAGGTCTCATTGAGGAGGGTCAAGCTTGTTTTCTGCTATTCCGGAGAATAGGACACAGTGGAGCCATGGGTTGAAACAGCAAGAAAAGAGATTCCATGTAAACATTAGGAAGGCCTTCCTGGTAGTAATAGCTGTTAGACAGTGGAATATACTGCCGCAGAGTCCTTCTCTAAAGCTGTGGTTCTCAGCCTGTGGGTCCCCAGATGTTTTGGCCTTCAACTCCCAAAAATCTTAACAGCTGGTAAACTGGTTGGGATTTCTGGGAGTTGTAGGCCAAAACATCTGGAGACACACAGGTTGATAACCACTGCTTTAGAGGTTTTAAGCAGAGAATGGATGTCCATCTGTCAGGAGTGCTTGGATTGTGTCCTCCTGCTTGGCAGAATGGGGTTGGACTGGATGACCTTTGGGGGTTCCTTCCAGTTCTAGTGGAATACATTGCCTGCTGACCTCATCACATTAGAGAATGAATCCACTTTAAATCTAGTTTCTGCCTCCTGCAGAATTCTGGGGTTGTAGTTTAGTGAGGCTGTTAAAGACTCCTTCCTAAACTACAAACCTCAGAATTCTGCAGGAGGCAGCAACTGGATTTAAAGTGGATTCATTAGTGTGACAAAGTCGTGAAGAGTCCACTGGAGTCTCTTTTCCTGGAGGTTTCCACATAGAGGTTGGATGGCCATCTGTCGAGAGGGCTTTGATGGTGCCTTCCTGCCTGGCAGAAAGCAGTTGTATTGGATGGCCCTCTTCCAGCTCTAGAATCCTATAATCCCATAAAATTAAGCCTTGGCAGTTGAAGTCTGAAGGAGAAGCAGATAATAATAATAATAATAATAATAATAATAATAATAATAATAATAATAATATCTTTTTTTCTTGAATAAAAGCCATGGTGAGTTATAGCTATCTTGTATTGTTATCTGGTATTATTTTATATTCTTATCTTGTATTATTTTATATTACCATATTACTTTATTTTATAGTATCATATTTTATGTTTTATATTATTATTTTATATTATTACTCTTATTTTATACATTACGCTATGCAACACAATTTGAAAAATGTTTCTGTTCCTAGTTTGAACATGTTATTTCCTGTTTAATTGTGCGATACTTACTTTGGAAATAGTTGCTATACTCCAGAAACTTTGTTTTTGTGGCTGCCACAAACTAGGTTGGATTGGTTGAGACTCTATGAGGTATTCATTGGAAAACTATAGCAAAATGTGTTGCTTTATGTCCCACAAAAACACAGTTTTTACAATCTAACAAACCTTTCCCATGTTTTTATGATAGAAGCAATTAGGAAATGAATTTCTATCCCAGGAACAAAAACTGTGTTACATAGTGTTGTTGTTGTTGTTATTGTCATTATTATTATTATTATTATTATTATTATTATTATTATTATTATTATATTATCTCATTATATATTATTTTATATTATTATTTTGTATTTTATATTTGAATATTATTATCTTATATTTTTATACAATATTTTTATTTATTTATTTATATTGTTATTTTTATTTTACTGGTATTATAGAGTGGAGCCAGATGTCTTTCCGTCTGTAGTGTAGATGCACCCTTCTGAGACCCCATTAAAGACAACAGAGAAAGAGAAGGAATTACTGCAGACCCAATGCCAATCCCATGCCCACCACCCTCTTTGTCTAACTCTTTTTGTCCAGGCGGCTGAAGCGGAGCCTGTGCCCATTTGCAGAACTCAATGAGGCCTATTATTTGCCTACAGACCTGCTCCCTCCTTCCTGGCATTGTGTTCCTTGGCGGAAGCAGGAAATTTGGGAGCAGAGCCGGGAAGGAAGGAAGGACCTGTCTGGTTCTGTTCTCTCACACAAAGCAGAAAGCAAAGAGTGTTGCAATGCCTCTGCTCTGCTCCTTACTGGAAGGGGAGGAGGGGATGGTGGAGTGCCAAGCCTAGGGCTGGGCTAGGAGGAGGTAAACTGGGAGGACTGGGAGGAAAAGGAGGAGGAAGCAGCCAAGCTGGGCTGAGAGGAGAAGGTTGCGCAAGGAAAACTGCAGCAAGAAAGGTTCATTTCCTCACCAAAGCGGGGCTGCGAGGCCATGGGAGTTGTAGTTTGGGGAGGCCTTGTAAACGACAACTCCCAGGATTTGTAGGACCCAGCCATGGCAGTCAGAGGGCCCTTCCACACAGCCATAAAACCCAGAATATCAAGGCAGAAAATCCTTTGAACTGGATTATCTTGAGTCCGCACTGCCATATATTCCAGTTCAGAGCAGATAATGTGGGATTTTATGTGGAAAGGGCCACAGTGGCATGAAACTGAATTCATACTACAGTGTGATTTGTGAGTCTAATGACCAAGCAGAACTACAACTCCCAGGATTCCATAGCCATGGGACTTACTCTGGAGGCAGACTGCATTCATTCCATAAGACAGTGGTTCTCAACCTGTGGGTCCCCAGGTGTTTTGGCCTACAACTCCCAGAAATCCCAGCCAAATTACCAGCAGTTAGGATTTCTGGGAGTTGAAGGCCAAAACATCTGGGGACCCACAGGTTGAGAACCACTGCCATAAGATAAATGCACCCCTAGAGTTCTCAGTTTGTTGGACTAAAATAATAGCCCTAGGAACAGTTCCCATTATCCACAGTGAGACTTTCCTTCCAAATTAATGCATCTG